TGTTCCATCCCTAAAAGAAAACCAAAGCCAAAGGTAAGTTTTCAGGTCAAATTACTATGAGGTGTTTTCTATTTTCTTCCTGTCAGAAAAAAAAAAAAAGAAAAAGCAGTATTTGAATTTAAATTTACTTAAACTGTGTTTGATCCTCTCCCATTGCCTTATCATGAAACTCCAGTTTTGATGCAGAATGAAGAGGAAAATACCAGTTGTGCACACTAAAAATCCATTAAAGGATAGTTTAAAGCCAACAACGCTCAGACAGCATCCAAAGACAATGACAGAAATCAGGGCAGAAAAATTCCACATGGAGCATCCACAGGAGCCGAGGACACTGGGACAAGAAGTCCTTCCCAGAGATAAGGAAGAATTTCTAAGTCCCAGCAGCTGCAATTTTGAGGAAAAATGCAAATCTTGAGAATAAATGCAAAAAATCCCTATTTTTGGTGGTTCCTGCCATAACTGCAGGTATTACCTTCTGCAAAGAGCACAAGTAGGAGCAGTGTAGGCCCAAAACCCCTATGTGGCCAGACCCTGTCTGAAGGCTCCTCAGGACCCACAAGCATCTAGGTTGGAAAAGACCTCTGGGACCATTGAGTCCAACCTGAGACACATCACCACATTGTCAGCTAGACCAGAGCACTGAGTGCCACATCCAGTCACAGCCTGAACGTGTAACTCCAATGATATTTCAGCATCAGAGATGTCCAGAGACCAAAACAAACAGGAAAACCTTTTTCTCCCAAGCAGATCAGTGACACCATAAAGTTTCAAGTCCCTTTAACCCACACTTTGCAGAATTAATTTCCTTATCCCACTTGATTCTTCTAGCCACAGCTGAGGTGCTCCATGGATTCTTCCTTTGGACAACATGTGTGCCACAGCTGAGTCTGTGAGCTAGAGAGGTTTCATCAATGGGACATGGACAGTGGGATCTGTGCACCCTCAGCACGTTTGCTAATGACACCTAGTGCATGGGGCAGGCACAGCTGGAGGGAAGGGAGGGACCGTCAGAGGGACCTTGACAAGCTTGAGAGTGTCTGATACCAACCACATGAAGGTCAACAAAGATAAGTGCAAGGTCCTACATCTGGATCATGGCAGTCCCAGGCACAGCTACAGGTTGGGTGAGGAAACTATCAATGAGGAGAAAGACTTGGGGGTGACAGTGAATAAGAAACTCTCCATGAGCTGCAGTGTGAGCTCAGTCCAGAAACCAACCCAGGCCTGGGCTGCATCCACAGGAGTGTGGGCAGCAGGTCAAAAGAGGCGATTCTTCCTCTCTACTCTGCTCTCTTGAGACTCACCTGGAATACTGCACACCGTTCTGGTGTCCTTAAC